ACATATTATGAATTTTTAATAATTTGTTGATTTGAGCCTTTGCCTTTAGAAAATTATCCTCATAAACAACTGTTTTATTCTTAAATGTTATTTTGTAAATATTTTTGTCAAATTTCACTACTTTTTCATTTTAAAAATAAATATATAGATACTATTAATGTAAATCAACATTCAACAGAAAAAACGAATAGCTATAAAGTTTTCACTTTGAAGCGGCACTGAATCAGACTTTCTGTCCGGTTCTTGTAAACTAATGGAACAGAATTCATTTTAATAAATTACATAATTCGTGTGAGTCTCGAATATGTGCGTAGTAAAGACGAAAAACTTTTGTCATCTCACCTATCATTGACTTCTCAAATCGACTTTTTTTTCCAAATTGCCAGTCATATCGGCATTTCTTTTTTGTTCTATTTTGTTGCTCTACATACGTTTTGTTTCGGATGTTCGAGTGGTGGTCAAATATTTGCTTGGTGAGAACATACAAAAAGGAGAAAAAAAGGATACCTTACAGTAATAATGTGAGTATGCATGCATAAGAAAAAGAAATGTATAAAAACAACGGTAGTATTTGACGACATAGTGAATCGTGCTATTTTCTACGAAAAACTGCTGTAGAATAGCTATGATGAGATGTCTATCCGATGCGTACATAGTTTTGTCAAAAAATATATACTTTGTTTATACCTGTAAAAAAATATATATACTTTCTACCTAAAGAATAAGTATGCAGTACGTAGTGCAGTAGTACATAAAACTTGAAAACTTGAAAATATAACGCGTCATATATACAAAAAAAAAGAAAGAAAGAAAAAAAAATAGTTGAACCACACACATTTCGAATATATCGTCTTTTTGATATTGTTGTATTTTAAACGATTGGACATTAATAACAGCCATGTAAAAGATGTAGAAAAAAGAGAGTTTAAACACAACAATTTACTTAACTCAATAATACTAATACTTTTGAACGAATGTATGGTGATACACTTCAACTCACTAGAGAATGTGTTGTTTTAACTCAGTTTTCAGTATAATGGTTTAAGACTAGTGTGTACAGCGACCACTCAACAAACGTTGTCAATGGAAATATACTTTCGAAAAAACAAAACAGCATTCTCTTTATTTTACACATAGCTTTATTTTACACTAATCAGGGGCGCAACCAGTATTTTTGGGCTTCTGAACTATTTCCTAGAGAGCTATGGGAAATCGTTCGATCTACGTGAGCCAAACGATGTCTTGTTGGATGTCAAATTGTTTATTCAATGGCGAAGTCTTATTTATGATTATTCTTTTTCGTAGTGTACTTGGCAAAAATACATAGTGTAGAAGCAGAAGCAGCTGTAAAAATCAAGGAAAAGTTTCATCCCATTCGAATTTAATACTATGGATCCTACTTTGGATCCAAGTATTAGTCGAAAAGCGAAATTTCGAGAGGATTTTTGTATGGAAAATTGAAAAATACTGAGTTTTCTTCAAAAAATCTGATCTTTCAATGATAGTTTTGTCACCCGAGAACGAATAGAGACATCGAAAAACTCTAGATCCTATTTCAGGACTTTTTTTGGAAACTACCTAAAGAAAAAAAACCCACTATTTCTGCACAAAGTTCTACATGTAAAGATTCAAAGTTCTACCCGATGAGGTTTTTTTCGTTTGAAACGGTGTCCAAACGCGTGTAGACGACGAAATAATAGAAACGCGTTCAATAGATGCTTGAAAGCCTTTTAAACGATATACAAAACGCGTTTCAAGCATCGATTAAACGCGCTTCTATTATTTCCTCACTTACAAGCGTTTGGACACCGCTTCAAACAAATAAAAAACTCATGGGTACGCTCCTCGCTGTTTGTAAGTGAAATAAAACATAATAAGATCAATGCGATGTATATGTATTCCTATCTACATATAGTCCATATTTCTGGTTCTCTATCTTTTTCAGTTTTTGCCTACTTAGAACTTCCATATAAGAGAAAAAAAGCTGAAGATGACTGTTATCTCGATAAAATATTTAAATTCATTTACGCATAACAAAAGAATTTAATATTGAAACCAGTTACTTTTTGTTCTTCTCTTGTTTCCTTTGATTAATCCATAATAGAGATTAATCAGATTTTAAAATAATTTTGAAGAAAAATTAGAGTTTTTGAGAGAAAAATCGATATTAAATTTCAAAACTTTTATCCTAAAATGTTTCGAATTTAATCTGTAATGGTAAGTTAACAAGGATAATTTTTCAACAGTGTCCGGAGACTCTCGGAGTAGAGAGTGGGTAAACAAACTTTTAAGTAAAACTAAAAAAGCAGGGGAGTGCACCCATTGCCCTCCTAGTCGGAGCGCTCCGGTAATTTTCAGGCGGTTTATGGATAAAAAACTCAACGTCACTACGTATGGACATGGATATAAAACTAAACATTTTCAGTTGCTTAGATTCAGTATTTAAAGACAAAACTATGTCTTAAAATTAAATCAGTGACGAAGCAAAATAAAAAAAGCGATTATACTTTTAAAGCGCATTTAATGGCGGTTCTAATAAAGGAAAAAAGTCTCTTTACAAAAAAAAGTAGATAGGTTTGCAAAATTATTTAGGAACTTTTCATTAGGGAAGACCAAGACGTCCATACTGGATAAATTTTTGACTTCAGCCTCGATTAAGCATTATCCTTACACTTAGTTTTTGATGCTGAATGTGAAAAAAGCACTTCCAAAATGTTAGACGAGCGTAACAGAAAAACATTTGAATTTTTTTTGAAACTGAAGGGTTTTTCGAAATTTTAGACATTTTGAATTTTTGAATTTTTCGACATGAAAAAGTTTTTTCAAGCATTAAAACGCATATTTTCTTCTCCAGATAGACGAGCTCGATCTAATTCAACCATGTATAAAAAATGCAAAAATAAAAACTTGCTGAATTTTTGAATTCGCGAAAGTTCATATTTTCTAAATCAGGAGCGCAAAAATCGGAATCCTACCTGTATTTCTCAATTTTATTCATCAGGACTCAAATTTTATGCAATAAAAATATCATATTTGGAATCAGCGTCGAAAACTGACAAGGGAACCTCTCGAGATGCCCACTTCCGACCCCAATGACTTGTACATGGATCGATAGACCTCGGTTTTCTGGGAAACCAGTTTTTCAGAAACTCTAAAAAATAACCAAAACCTTTCTTAATGCGGCATGATTGTAGCCCGCACATTTCTGATTAAAATGAGACATCTCCCAGCTCTACACGACCTTTCTTTGCGAAGTTATAGAATTTACAAGAAAAGCCCTATATTAATTTCTTCTTATTTCTGTAGCTTTGAGCTGACAATGAACATTTAGGACTTTACCTGTAAATTCTATAACTTCGCAAAGAAAGGTCATGTAGAACTGGGAGATATCTCATTTTAATCAGAAACGTGCGGGCTACAATCATGCCTCATTAAGAAAGGTTTTGGTTATTTTTTAGAGTTTCTGAAAAACTGGTTTCCCAGAAAATCGGGTCTTCAAGAGTCATGGGCTCGAATCCTTTTCGGGTATTTACTGTCTCACTGAGGTCTATCGATCTATATACAAGTCATTGGAATCGGAAGTGGGAATCTCAGGAGGTTCCCTGGTGAGTCGAATGATATATATTTCGAAAATTTTTCTTGATTTTCATTTTTGGATGAAAATCTCTCTAATGTTTCGATATGAAAATTCAGAAAACCGTGAAGTGGTCAGATACGATAGAAAAAGTACATCATAGATAGATCAATTAAGAAACAAGTATACCAAAAGATAGATTAATCTTAGTTTATTTTCGATTCATTTTCTCACTTCATACCTTGCGTACATTCCACGATATGACAAATGTCTACACATTTTCGTCTTGATATTCAATTTATTTCTGTACTATTGTTTATATTTTCATTAAGTCTCATTTTGACGTCCTATTATACGATGAGTGTAGTGCAAGAAGGATGGGATTTAGTTCAATACTATTTTGGATGTTGTGGTATTTAAACAAGTTCCGAGTGACTATTGACACCAACAAGTGGATGAAAGGCACAATTTCCACATACTTGATGTGGATATTATATTTCTTACATTGGTCATATTGGACGAATGTTTGTCGGGTATCTGTACCTTCATTAACATGGATTTGGTATTATGCGACATTGAACAACCTAAGTAATTTGTTTCATCAACGGGTAATAATTTGGAAGTAAATATTAAGAGATTCAAAGAAGCTTTAAATGTATTGTTCATTGTTTAAAATACAGTCAACGTTTCGAACTGTACACAGTTCATTTTCAAGGCAAAAAAAGGATGCTACAATGAATTAGAAAAGTGCAAGTGTATGATAGAAGTATTTGTCGTTCCTCTGATAGGTGAAAGAACAAACAAATGTATAAAATTTACTTTTATTTCCTTCTTTCTTTTAAATTTGTTTACTTTTCAAATTCATTGTAACATTTTTTTGTCTTAAAAATGAACTGTATATAGTTCGAAACGTTGACTGTATTTTAAACAATGAAAAATACATTTAAAGCTGTTGTGAATCTCTTAATATTGAACAACCTACATGTTACAGTTCAATGAACCACAAACTTATCATAATAGTATTGATATTTCTAATATCAAAAATATTAATTATTCTTGAATTATTTATATTAATAGTTATAATGTAGACAAAAAACAGAATAGATCACGTTTACAGAAGCAACAATAGGCCATACTGACAAGTCTCAATATTGAGGCGTTTACACATAAAAGAACAAGCACAAGAAGATCTGTTGAAAAAATAAAATTCTTCAATGAAAAATAGTCAATTTCTTTATAACTTTTCCCATCTATAAAATTATAAAATAGAACAAAAATTAAGTGTAGAAAAAGAGAGCAACAAATAATACAACGACTAGAACAATAAAAAAACAAAAAAAAGATCCGAAAATCTTCCAAAAGATCAAAATCAGAGTGATAATAATAATATTATAATATTATTATTATTATTTATGTTTATCCATATTTAACCGTCTCCATCAGGTCTGATTTGATTGTCATGTTTGGAAACAACCGATATTTGATCTGATTGTTCAAATATTTGTTTAATTCTTCGTCCTGAATATAATTCTTTTAATTCACGTCGAATAAGACCGGTGAAAATTGTTGATAATAGAGTACATGGAACAAGATAGAGAAGAGCTGGTTGTGGCATGTTCATAAAGACTAAGGCAATAATGACCAATATATATCCAATAGAATAAGCAATCAACGATTGTATATAATAAACATGAATACGATTATTACTCGCTATATCAAATATTTTACAATAGGTTATTAAAATTCCAGGCAAAATAATATCTCCAAAACCAATTTTTTGATCATTACTTGTTATACATGGATCGGGATATTTTGTTATTCTTGGTACACTAAATAATAATGGTACAACTTCATCGCCACTTCCAAGTCCAAGTGCAACCTAAAAAATAATTAATGAATATAAGTTTTGATATTTATTCTCATTACTAACTATTTCACCTTTTCCATAATACTTGGATTTCTATTTCTTATTTCTCTTTGTATTGTTGGTATATAATAAGGTGATAATGTACTTGTTAATGTTGAATTGATACCCGTTGCACTAATTGTTGTTTGTGTTGATAATAATGTTGTTAAATTAGTTTTAGTTGAATCATTGAAAAATGGAATATAGGGTGTAATGAATACAAAAAATATATCGTAGAAAAAAAATAATGATAAAATCAATGTAATTACTTTCATATTTGCTAAACGATAAACAGATAAAACGACAATGCATAATGCAGCACCAATAATATCTTGTAATATCCATGACCATCGTTGTTTTCTATAAACGTACCAAAGAATAACTACTGTTAAACCAATAAAAAATGTAAGTATTGAAAAATAATTAATTGGACCAATTTGATATTTGCACGGTTTTCGAATTTCACATGATCGAATTTCAAAACGTCTTAAAATTTTTACAAAATATTTTATATAACTAAAACGTTTTAAACACGATTTCAACGAAAACAAACCACTAATACAAAACATTGCTAGAAAAGAAGAAAAAACAAACAAAATTGAATTCATATAGAAATAATCTACGAATCATAAGTAATTGGACAAAATGTCTGGCCATTTTTTTTGTAATAAAATACATTTCGAAAAAATGAAAAAGAAGTATTGAGAATCTACATTTAAAGAGCTTTCGAACTGTGTGTTCAAAAATTTTCTATCACTTTTGGTCTCCTGGGAATGAGCGAATCTTTGCTATGCCCTAAAAACTAAGTTTGTAAAAAAAGAAAATCTGGTATTTTTCGACAAATGTAAGTCACGGGCTTGGCGAAACCAAAAAGCAAGGAAGGTCTCCTGTGGATAAACTTTTTTTGCCGTTGCGTTCTGCAACAGAATGCAATAAAAAATGTTCCTCCGGTCAGACGAAAAATATTTTTTTCCGGAGCAGGAAAGTGTGTGACCCCTTTCACCCCATCATGCATCCGCTCAGTACTTGTATTCCTTATATAAATTTTTTGTAGTACATTACAACGTTTTTACGGCTTAAGACTGTAGAACAGACAATTCTCTATACAATAAGATGTTAAAATAAGATGACATAACGGCCGGAAATTATTCGCATTTTTTTAACATCATTTTTTACCCAGAAAGAATTTCGCAAAAAACACGATTTTTCAAAAAATATCCTTTTAGTAAATTGATGAATTTCATCAGATTTTGCAGCGCAATAATAATTCAGGAAAGCCTGTTTTGTAGAGAAAAGCCTGATCTATAACCTGATATGCAAATCAAAGTTTAATTTTTCGATTTGAAGCCGTTGTTGTCAAAATCAAAAAATATACAAGATTTTTTTCTTACCAAACTAAATTTTTGTGTGTTTGAAGGATTCGCTCATTGCTTCAAGATCAAAAGTGATAGAAAATTTTCGAACACACAGTTAAAAAGCTTTCTATATGTAAATTTTAAATAACTCTTTTCGATTCTTCTAAGACGTTTTTAATCACAAGAAAAATGGAGAGACATTTGTCCAATTACTTATGTAGGTTATATTGATTAAAAATAAAGATATCAATATTTAATAATTACTTTGCAAAATTTTAACCATCACAGTGGGAAATTTCCAAATTAATAATATCCAGGCAACGGCCGTGATTAATAAAAATAATATTGTACAATAGGGCATAGCTAAGATGGCTTGTTCGTTTTCTTTCGATGATAATTCTTTTAATTTTTGAAATGATGGTGGTGGTGGTAAAACAATTGATCTTGGTAATGGTACTGTAACAGTATCAGTAGGAGAGGAAGATAATACTTGTGTAGTATTTGTTTGTGTTGACAGATTTGGCGATGATTGTTGGTTCGTTGCCAAGGGTTCTAAATGAAAAAAAAAAATGCATAGCGTATTATAGATAGTACATCTACAATAATCTTTTAACACCTATTTTCTAAACTCAGTCTCATAATTTATTATTCAATAAATTTTAATTTTCAATAGATTATTTAAATCGAAAATCAATCTTATTATAGGTATTCGATATCAAATCATACCCATAGAATCGTTGTTATTTATTGGATTTGGATTGACGGCGGTATATTTTCCTTGTTGATTAAATGCATAATAATCGACGGATTCTTTAACTTTTTGAATAAATTCATCGCCTGCCCACATGGTGCCAGCGAAAAGTACTAAAATAATTAAAATATACATCAATAATGTCACTATATTAAGTCGTGATTGATGAAATGAATAATCGATTGAAATTTGTTCAATTTGATTTGTTTTATTATCGTTAATTAATCCATTAAATTCTGATTGTCTAATGAGTAAAACAGGAATTGTTACTGGAAGTGTTTTATTTGTTGTTAATGATTGAATTATTGTATATGGAATAACAATTATATATAATAAACTGATTTTATCACCAAATACTAACTGAAAATTATATGATTGTTCTGCAAATGAACAATTTGCATTGTAGTGAATAACAAACATAGAGTTATCTGCGATTGATAATGAGGATAACGCTGAAACATTTGCTTTATCACAACCGTTTGTTGTTGATGCATAATAATAATTATGCCAGCCAAATTGTTTTACAGGAAGTATTTGTGGTAACAATGCCAGTTGAAGACAATAACGATTTGTATTTTTTGACGATTTTAAACTTGTAATTAAATTTAGAGATTCTCCTGTGTCTGCATTCAGAAAAGAAAACAGACAACAACAAAATATTAGAGAATAATAGACTAAATTTGGAACCATCTTGTATTTATGACTATTAATCTGAATAAATAAACAAAAACACAGAACTGTGAAAGAATTGTGGTGAAGAAGTTGAATTAAAAAAATCTAGAATCGATGATCACATGAAAAAAACGTTTTTACACAATTTATGTCAAGCTCCCTCCCAAAAAGTCAAAAAAAAAATCGATTTTGAGATTTATGCATGGTTAAATAACTCAAAGCATTTTACTTTCAGAATCTCTATCGCTTTTTGACCGAGAAATAATTTTTCATGATTTTAGAAAAAGTTTTTCAGGGGCATCGAAAATTAAAATATCCACTAATAGATTTTTTCACAATGTTTATGCAATTAAATTATTTCTGAACACGTGGATTTGTAGACCAAACTTTTTTGATTAAAATAAGGCATAAGCACAACTCTGTGCAACCTTTAAAAAATTAGAAGCATTGTCCTACACCTCAAAATTCACGAACAAATGAACGTTTTTTCTCAAAATCGCTTTTTAAAAAAGCAGATGTTACCATTTCCCTGATCTCTCTTCTGCTTTAAGTGCGGCAAATCTTGGATTGATCTTAGAATGATTAGAAGGCGCGACCGTTACTTAGTCTAGCTGGATTTTCGATTTTTATGCTAGTTTTAAAGAAGAGTAATGATTTTGAAACAACCAGCAAAACTTTGAAGATAAAACGTCTGAGAAAAATAAGTAAACAAAACTCATAAATCCCGCTTCGATAAGTCATAGTCACAAGTCTTCTCGCTATTTTACAGTATTTAAAATTGAGAAGAAATGGTAACACCTAACTAACACCCTTATTCTAATATAGATAATACAAACATTCTGCAAAAATTTCGCTAGGATCTTGTGTTTTGTGTCAAAAATAGATTTTTGATAGGAGAGTCTGTAAAATCCAATATATTTGAGTGAGACACAATGAACTTTTATAAACAGATCTATCATCCATCCACCATCCATCTTCTTCCTTCTACCTAACATTTATTTTTCAAATCCGTGCTCCTTGACAAATGGTTCGTATTAGCTTCATTTTAATTTCTATTTATCGATACTGGTATGCAACAAAAAAAAGTCATCTGTGTACCTCTGATATTTGCCGCTTTCGTTCTGATAACTTTTATAGTATGTCATTGATGAGACATTTACAATAATTGCGACTCCGACGTTCGTAAAAAAAAAATACAAGAAAATGTGCGTTCTTACTTCATCTCACTGTAAAGAGAATACAAAAAAAGAAACGACAAGAAATAAGTAGTAACACAACATATGTTTGTAGCCCGCCAGATGATCTATCAGATTGTATGCATAATAAGGTGTTGTACGTACTAGTGTATTTTTCTTTACGAGAAGATGATACACAGATTAAAGAAAAAAGAGTTCTAATTTTACTTCATACAACAACTTGTGATAGAAGATTCATTTAAACATCACCTATGGGGAAAATCCAGATACATTTCATCTGTAATCGAGCGATGCACGACTAGTTGCCACCTAGACTAATTGTTGAAAAAGACACTTTTAACTAAATGCATTAGCAAATGCAACTATCGATTTAACTATTGCTAGTTGTACATGCTATGGCATTTAGTTAAAAGTCCCTTTTCCAACTAGTAATCTAAATGACAACTAGTCGCCCGATTACAGATGAAATGTATCTAGATTTTTCTCATAGCTGATGTTTGCGTCGATTGACAACACTTTACAATTATAATATGTCTCCAAGAGTTGAGGTACGACGAACATTCAAAAGACAGGAAGAGACACTGATAATTTTCTTTTTAGTCTCGATGTCAGTTAAAATTGATTAGCTACTAATTGATCTTATTTTCCAGAGAAAAGATTGACGGATAGAGGAAACTGACTGTTTTACCTATGTAAAAGCTTTGAAATTACACCAGTAATTGATAAAAGAAAAAAACGCGCATACACATTTTACAGACATGAAAACATCCTTCTCAAGCTTTTGCTTTTTATTTTTTACTTGTTTTATTTCATACTGACGTTATCATGTGTCATGTAGATTTACCCATCTTCCTTAAACTCGAGAATTCGTCGTACTGACGCGCTCTCTTTCTATTCGATTTTTTAAAAACACAGAAAAGATTTTTTCTTTTTTTTCTTTTTTTCTGTTGATGTTGTTGGCTTCAAATAAACATAGACGTACGGTTATGTCAAAGACACGAGAAATGCAGAAGAATGAGGAAAAAATATTTAATATTTATGCCATATCCGTTTTTTCAACTGTGTGCGGTTGTTTTGACAGGGTGCAAAATGGAATGATCTCTTGATTGAGAAAATCTTCATTTAAAGAAGCATATCCAGATCAAAAACAATGAATTTATGAATGTATCCTGCAGAGATTTGACATACTATGTTTTTATATTGTTTAAAAAGAACAAATTTCATCAGATATTTTGTCATTCTTCTTTCGTCCATACTACTACCGATTGACTAAAACAAGTCATATTTAGATCATACAATTAATAGAACCTCACACAAAAGGTGATATATGCAAAATGAACGAATCTCGTACAATCACTCTAACCTGACCATCAAAATTGAACTCGTCTATATAGTGAATAAAAATGTTATTTTCTTTCTTTTTTTCATCAAAATATAAAGACCATAAACGAAGGTCATTCTTGTGGCTTGATGTAAAATATAAAAGAAATCAGTTCAACTTCATCCTATAGTTGTCGTGTTGTACATACATATACTATGTGCAATAAAAAAAATAAAAAAAGAGAGAGAAAAAAAAATAATCATGTTTTTACTTGTATTTTAAAATATTAATCATAGACTGACGCTTACTCATGCTAAGGCGAGTGCTATTCTTTTGTGTTATTTTTGGATATTCACATAGTCAAATAAAGGTTGCAGATCAATATTTTTTAAATCGAAATAGTGATTTTAATTTGAACGTTGATCCATTTGAATATTTTAAACAGCTTGTACGAGATACGCAAACACCTTATCGTCAGTGTGAGACAATTCCACCCTATAAAGTACAGTTAGATAAAACATTTTTTAATGTTGATTTTCGTTATTGGAAAATAAAATATCCACCGCCACCGTTTAGAACACTTGAAGCGTTTGTTCAATTTGATACTTATCGTCAAAGTACATTTTTCAGTCATTCATTACAAGGATTTAGTCAAGAGAAAGTTCCAGGTATAAAAATACTTGCCAAGATCTTATCTCCAATCACAATGAATTGTTTCCATCTTTTTAAAATTTATCAACTCTAATTTATAGAACTAGATAGAATTTTATATCTAAAGTTTATAAAGACAAAACTGTATTCTTCCTGTAAAATGGATGTAGTATAGACATGTTTATTTCATATATTTTATATTTAACTTTTTTTCACAGCTTTTTATAGACATTCTTTTTTATTTATAGGTCTCCTATATTTTTACCTTTCATCCGCATCTCAACTTCATTCATTACGTCAATTAGGTTTATTGACAGGTATTGATGCTGTACAAAGTGTTCGATATGCGTTTGAAAGTAATGAAGTAGTTCGAGTACCATGGTATAGAAGTGGACCATTTATTAATTTAGAAAGACCGTTTAGCATCTATACAAAGTACGTCACTTTTACGTGACTTTTTTATACATAATAAAAGATCTTATTTTTCTTTACAGTTTCTCATCGTATGATCCACAGACTATAACAATCACTGATTTAGGCGTTGGTCCGCCCGTTTTTAATGATTATACAACAAGATTTTTCCAGCATTTTAATCGAGAATTCAATGTACCACCAAGATTATTTAAAACATACGATGAATATTTTCAAGCGTTACTTCAGACATGGCAAACACGTTTACGTCCTGATCAAGATGAGATGCGAGAATGGGGAATGAAACAGTTTGATAATTTGTTACAATATGGCGAAGGCTATTTTCCATTACCCTATCTTTCTGTACCTATTCCACCCAGAACAACATTTAACCCGTTTAATCTCGTATTTCCATATGCCAATCTCATCTATGAATATCATAAAGATCCAAATTATTATCGCTTCACAAAAGTGTGGTGGCTAAATGAAACAGAAGCTGAACATAATCAGAATAGGTAAAACATAAAACATTTTTTGAAAGTACATTGCCTTGCTATTGATACTTCATTTTAGTCTTTTGTATGTTGTTTTACCAGATCACATAACGCGTGAAGTGGTATTACCCAATATTGATCAAACACAATGGACTGGTCCCTATCGCTTTTGTCCAAATCCAAATAATTGGCTTGTGGCATCAATTGAACCAATATGGGCTGTGAATCACTTCCAATACAAAAATGATTGGTTTAAAAGCAACAAACGTTATAGGTAGAGAATTAGTTTCATATTTATCGTATTTCATCTCACTATTTCCTCTAGATATGCTGGTGTCACAAATGTGGAATTGGCGTACGCACAATTGAATGTTGATCAATGTCCGGGTGAAAGGAGTAGAAATTTGTTTGCTGGTACAGCAGCGTGCGATCAAAATGCCAATGTATGTATAATTTATGTTTTTTACACGAAGTTGATAAGCGAATCTCTTTATTTCGAAGTGCAACCCAGTTGGCGGTATTCAGTTTAAGAGTGGTGGTTACGAATGCACTTGCCGCAATAATTTTCGTTATCCATCAAATATTCGCTCTCCGTTTCGTCCAGCATTCGATCGATATCCTGTTTCTCCAGTGTGTCAACCAATTAGTCTTTTAACGCCGTATCCATCGTGGCAAACAAATGGGGAACAAATTCGGCTAACACCACTTCATAATATTGTTCGCCGATCAGTGAGACCAAATTTATTTGAAAAATTACGAGCGATTGTGTTTAATCGAACGTCGGTTACTTGTCCACCATGGAGTCACATCGGTTTGTTTTACAATATTGATACCGACTATGACGATCGTTTTATTTCCGATTTATCACGTCATCTAGACATTGTATATAAACCATTTACATTGCAAGCTGTCCGCATCGCTCATCTCCTATCGAGCTACTTACAGCTTTATCGTCCCAATTGGGATCCAGTTAATGACGGATTTGAAGATCGTCGTCCTGATCCGCCGTTGTTTGAACATGTACTGGAAAGTGAAATATCGAGCACCGGTCTCGCTTATAGTCAATTATTAGAAGTAGGCATTTATTTCAATGGTAGTGAATATGAAAGACAGAATCCGTACCAACAATTTGGTTATCCATCTACTGGTGGTGGTGGTGGTGGTTATAATCCACGATATGGATTCAATATTAATGATAATAGTGGAACGGATGAGAGAGAAAATGAACGACATCATGAAAATTTTCATTTTCAACGTACTAATTTTGGTTATAACACAAAACCATTTCAGGAAATGAGTTATGCTATTACATTTCTACGATTGAGTAATGGAAAATATATCATAAACAGAACATTAGACGGAAGTAGGTAATCTTTTATCAAGATGTTAATAATCTAATATTTATTTATGAATTTAGGTCATTTGGCTCTTGGAACTTGGTATGATAAAGCAATGTTAAACGGTCGTGTTGATACATCATTGTACAGTGTCTCAATGGCCATGCGACGTGACTCATTGGGTACACAACTCCTTCGCTTACCACAAGTACAATACATATCACCAACTGCTGGAATTTGGTATGTGAATTTAGTAAGAAGAAAACGTATCAGTCTTACAAATGTTTTGTTTTAGGTTCGGACCCTATCATGATTGTTCATTGAAAAGTACAGAAGCATCAATGCTACGAATGAGATATTCTGTTCCAATAGTTAAAGAAGTTAATCGATTACCAATTGGTTTTGTATCCGTTGTTATTGGTTCTGATCTTCGATGGTACAAGATCAATCCATGTGATGAATCAATTGGTCTTAATGCTTACAATCCATTTCAAAGTATTCACAAATGTAATCGAGAAACAACACGTTGTATCTATCAGGATATACCAGAACAAGAGTCAGGCTACGATTTAGCTAGTTATAAATGTGTGTGTAAACAAGGTTATGAATATCCATTTTTATCCTATGAAAATAATTATTTTGAAGGTGCCATGATTGAAAGAGAATTTGAAAAAATGATGAAAGGTGAGATAAATTCGTATGAAAATATGAAATGTCGACAAATTAATGATAGATGGGATACAAAATACGGTTTTGTGATGAATAATGCAATTGAAAACAGACAACAATTGATACATACAACTTTAATCATAATGCTCATTATTCAATATTGTATTTTGTAAATAAAAAAATTCAACTTCGGAAATTATGATCAAGTTACTGGTGTCAAGCAACGAATGATGAAATCAACGATCAATTCTATCGCAAGAAATAATATCTTGTTCTGATAAACCAGCGCCGAGTAACAATTTCAAAATAACAGATATATAATTTTATTTTCAAACTTTTTATCTCACTTTTCAGCCATGAAATTTGTTATTCTAGTCACATACGAAGTATTTTTCTTAAGTAATGGTCGAGGCTCGTGTGAGTCGCTCTTGTGGCAGAAACTTACTAATATGACAAAAACTTGAACATCTTTTACGTTTTTTCATGAACAAATTGGCGGATTTTTTCTAATACTATGTGACCTGGAAAAATAAAATGGTGAATGTTTCTCAACGATTGTCAACTACGCTTGAAACATCTTTTTTAGTCCATCACTATTTTATAGAAAATCCTCGGCGATTTTATATATGGACTTTCTGAAAATCAACGGTGATTTTCTATAAATAATTTTCAAGATTATAGTGCACGAGAGCATGCCGGCACTTAATCTAAAAAAGGAGCAATCTTAAATTAAAAGTAAAATTAATCTGGAAAAAAAAGCGTCAGTTTTCGTCGAACTTTGCACTTTTAATACACTTCTGCGGACGTAAAACAAAACGATGAATATGTTGTGTATTGTCCCCATTGAGAAATCTTGAAAAATTATTTATAGAAAATCAATCGATTTCCTATAAATCTGAAAATCCTCCTTGATTTTCAAGATTCTTGAAAATCAACATTTTCTATAAATTCGAAAATCTTCAGGGATTTTATAGTCGATTTTCTATAAAATTGAAAATAATTCTATAATGCTTTTTTTTTTATAGCATTTAACAATTTTTTCGTACTCTATCATTAACTAAAATTCCCGTAACAGAAAGGGATCGCTTTAGTAGTTGGATGCCTTGGAATAACAAAAAGTGACCATATTAAATAAATACCGCGATAAATCTATTTTCTCATCTGACTCAGATTAATCATAAAGTCAGCAGTATTATTACTATAAGTAGAAGCTACGATAGTACTATGCATTTTTGCCACACTATTATCGCAGTTTTTTTTTACAGTGTAGTCTAGCACTTAACTGGAACTTCGTAGAAGCTGAATTCAATAAGTTCCATCAACTTTTTGTTGTTCTCGTTCTCCTATTACATAAAATATACAGCAAAAGAAGCATGACTAATGAGAATCGGAGGATACGCTAGGGCTAATATCAGACCTAGTCGTCAGAACTTATGTATGATTATACAAACTTTTAAGTCAAACTATTAATTCTGGCGTATTTCAATCTGAATAGATTAGAGTAGTTTAGCTGGATACTGCTTCGCTATAAAAACTCTCTATGATAGGCAACTCAACAAAAGGTTTGTCAGCAGTGCTATCCATGTCTTCCACAGATCAATGGAAATGACGATTTCAATTGACTACTCTAAATCTATGAATTTTTTACTTTCAAGAAAGAATCTGTATCTTCAAGTTAAAAATATTTTTTCAATATTTGCACGTGTATCGATTATTTTGACTATCCGTTTTGTTGCTATAATTAAATTTCGACATGAATTATTTCTAAATCTTTTCATATATTCAAACCACATAAGCGAGTTTGAGAAAAATACGTATGTTGCATACATATCTGCTGCACCATGAACATTGTGATTGTATGGAAATATAAAATATTGTGTTTTTGTATTTTTAACTAAAAGTAGTAGAATAGCATGAATATTTGCATCACCAATTGGATACAAATAAAAATAATGTTTATCAATCAATTGTTTCAAATATAGTTCAATTATTTCATTACTATACAGAAAGTTTAGTTTTAATATAAAAAAGTTATTATATATTGCCATTCCATGATAATCGTCCAAATTAGTACACATTGCATTAATACATCTACGATTTTGAATTATTGTTCCATTTTGTGGAATAAATTCTTTTAAATTCTTTTTCAAATATGATAATCCATTATCGTCAAAATATAATAGTCGATAAACATAATCCAAATTTAATTCAAAAAATTTTTCAAATAAATCATATTCAGATGAATTTGTTAAATAAGAATCATCATCTAAACGCATAACATAATCGTATTTATTTCGAACTATATTCATTGAGAAAAAAAGATCATAGGACCAAAATTGACACATTGCTTGATAACCATATGTTCGTTTTATATCAGGCATAAACTGATTATTTGAGACATTGTATTTGCTTGTTAAATTAAACTCTATTTCAATAAATTCTATGTTCAACGTATATTTAAAACATGTTTTTATCTCGTTTTTATATTCTTTTAATAAATCTTTTTCATGAAGTATATATATTGGATATCGTTCAATATTCATAAAATAGAGTTTCAATGAATTGAGCATATTTATCATTTTATTTTTACTTATATGATCATTTTTCATTAAAGTTACAATTGCAGCACGATATTGATAATAAGAATTTTTTTTTATAGAATTTGATTTATTCGATAGATTATAGTTGTTTATTTGTATTAAAAAAATAATTGTGAAGAGAAAAATGAATAATAAATATGTGAATATTGAGTATCTGTGAAGCGTCAACATGTTAATAATCGAACAACGTATTAGCGACATTGCTAAAATACATGAAATAGATTATTATACACTGATTAAACCGTTGTCAAATATTATAGTAATCTTTTTTGACAAATAATAATGTGTTGGAAGTTAACAGAGTCATAATACCTCATCTTTCTCATCCAGTTAATAATTGAAGTTTCTGCTCACATTCTATTGTTTGTCTTATATAAAATAGATGTGATGTTTACTTAAACTATATAAGTGGAAGTGGTGTACATTAAATTTCTAAACGTTTTTTTTTTTCGCTTCTTTTGTATGCCGTATAAATAGGAACAAAATTACATATGCCTTTTGTAAGCCAAGAGAGAAGATATATAGATTGACTTTGCGTTTTTCTCCACTTACTTGATCTATACCGGATTGTATCGTATGTATGTAATAATTTCATTTTATACCTAATAACATCATTTTTACGATCTTAATCTTGAACTGATAAATACTAATTCCTCTTTTTTCTCGTTTTTGGATGTCCCATTTTACTCATGTGCAACTATAACCATTAGAATAATCTATTTTGTTTAGATATAATGAACAAATACCTTCTATAAAGTTTTCTTCAAATGTTTCAAGTCAAAAAGTGTAAAAATTCGGCTTGGTTGGAAAATTAAAATTGGTAAATGTATAAAACTAGAGAAAAGATAAAATAGTATCCAATGTAATTGTTACAGCATGTCTCAAGAAAAAGTACTAATATATTAAGTTTGATCCATTTCAAATTAAAAGACACACCACTGTTTCTTGAGTAACGTTTGATAGAGACAGGTGAATTTTTTTTCTTTCGATAGCCAAGATCAGAGCACATCTTTTTATAAAAATTAAATTTCAAAATCTATCTTGCTGACAGTTTTCCAAAAGAACTTTTAAAAAATTATTTTGAATTTCTAAAGACAGACCAAAGTATGTTGTTTAAAATAGAAGTGAAATGAGAGTTCTATTTCCAACTAATGATCAGAAACGTATTGAAAATAGAAAAATACATTGTCTTGAGCTATTTTCATTTAAAAAAACTTTCATTACTCACTCAAAAGTAATGCGAACAGTTTAAAAACTTTAGAACATAATCAGTTTTGTGTCAGATAACTGATTTTTCGGTAGACAAGATTTTAAAGAAAAATGTGTGAAATTAGGTAAAAATAGTATGTGGGATAAGTTAGCAGCAGATTCGAGTTATTTTCAAAAATATTCATCCTCTGAGCTGTGCCAATATTGAGCACTGTTTTTTTTTGTCTTTGTAAGATGTACTGTTAGATAGAACTCGTCGAGTTGTACTTGGCACACCAAAATCTGAAGATAGCTCAGTTCGCTGTACAAATGTTTTATAGGAATACAAAATTTGACATATTTTGTCATAGAAATAAAGGGATATTTTGCGTTTAGAGTCGGTTATTGGCATCAAACTGGAACGGTAAACTTGTCATTAGACAAGAAATTCCACGTTCTATCTGGCACAGATCAGAGGATGAATGTTTTTAAAAATAACCTCAATCTGCTGCTAACTTATCCTATGTAAAAATGGTCAAAAATCGCGCATATTTTTACACAACTAGATTTTCATGTTTTTCAATCATTTTTAATAAACAAACTTTAGTATTCGCTATCGACAATAATCTATATTTGATCAGTTTTTAGGATTACTTCAAACTGACATTTTTAGGAAATCTGAGATCACAGTCTAAACCGTTAGAAGTGAAGCTCTCATTTCACTTCCGTTTTAAACAGCATAATTTGATCTGTCTTTAGAAATTTAAAATGATTTTCCAAAAGTTCTTTAAAAAAAAACTGTCAGCAAGATAGATTTTGAAATGGATCAATCAATATACGCACAAAAGTATTTCAAATGATGTTGCCACTATCTCTATTTTAATACAAATATGTATTGGTGATACTATTTACAATTATGTAGCGATTGATTGGTAGTTAATCTATAATGATATCTTATTATGTACAATTTTTTTATGTTTGATAATTGTTGGTATTACAAATTTGTATGCCCAGACGAACCAAACACGAATTGCATATCATTCGTCGAACAGATAGTTTGTCAATAACTTTCCTTTCTGTCGACAGATATTTTGTCGACATATGTTTGTCGGCTGCTTTTCTTGGACAATTAATTCTGTCGACAGTTATTTTGTAGATAATTCATCTTGTCGACGAGTCTTTTTGTCGACAAAGCATACAAAATACATACATGAGTGATAAAAAAGCTTCAGTGGAACATAATAAAGATAATGTGAAAAGATGTGATTCTTTTATTTGGTGTAAACTAACTTGTGTCATATATCGTTTATTGATCTTAGCCTGGATCTTAGAAAATTATATGGTAAATAAAGTAAGCAAACTCATTGTCAAATGTGGAATAGTTGAAAATAATAAAATACAAGAATTTCTATTGACACATAGTTTATTGACTCTTTGGAAAGACTTTCTTATTGAATGCATGAAAGAACGAGTTTTACCTCATTATTTTGTTCCTGATATAAATATATTGGAAGATTATAATAACAATTTAATCGATTAACCCCAATATTTTCGGAGGTCCATTTTCCCCTAGGATTCTCTCTATAGGAATAAACTTCAAACCAGGCATGGGCGAACTCGAGTCCGGACTGGAAGATTTTTTGGCGGACTCGGACTGGAGATTTTTTTGAAAGACTCGGACTCGGACTTGAGTTTTTGTATTTCGAGTCCGATCTATTCAACTTTTAACACAAATGAGTAGAGAAAAATGAAAAGCGAAATAACAACACCTACTGTTTCACATGAAATTAGAAATTTTGTTCGGGAGACGGACATGGAACATACCCTTATTTTCGAAAAATCAAATATCTATCCATGGCTCAACAAATTAAAATATAAACCACCTTCATCAAAAAGAATCTAAAAGATTACCGGTCTCGAAATGGATTCGGCGTGAACTTTTAGGGACTCGGTATCCCCCCCTGACTCGCCCATGCCTGCTTCAAACTTCCATCTCCTTCGGAGGAAAGACGTGTTCCTCGAAATTTTCATAAAAAGCATTGGATGTTGAATGTCTGAAAAACACGATTTTTGGCCGAAATCTATTTTCAGCTTTTTAAAAGACTACCAAAATATTATTGTACTCGATTATTTTATTTTATTTAGCGTGTACAGGCCTGCTTTTAACCATTTTTGCCATGAATTTTTATGATCACGCTATATAACGAATCGAGAACAAATGAACAAGTCGAGAATGAACTAAGCTGCTTTAAAAATAAATAAAGTGTACCAAAAGTTACTACTGATAAGAGGAATACCAAAAGCATTCACAAACGCAAGAAGACAAATATTTTCAGAAAAAGTATGGGAAGTTCAACCATCTGCTATCATCTCTCTAAAAAGAGAGTAGCCTTGTTTTTGAGCAGCGTATGAATGATAAACTCATCGCTTCGGTCATAACAGTGAGTAAATGAATGAATAAGATAATGTACTTCGCGCTTTGTTTTTGAGTAAGGGAAGCATTATTTTCCTCTTCTATCTGCTGAATAAAATCGACATATAAATTGGTGCTCTTAAACCTTAATAATTTTTTCACGCATATTTTTCAACAAAATATTTGTCGACAAAATGGTGCCGACAAAAATTAGTTGACGAATGATCTATATACCACAAAATATAATTGTTCAGTCAATATTACCGTGGGATAAGTCGATAGAACGTTCCCTTCTATTTCACATTTATTATTCCTTCTTTTTAATAATCGACACAAATTTATTTATTTTACAAAAAATTGGAGTAGCCTATACAAAAAAGTGACATAATATATGAAAAATAAAAACAAAAATACACCGGTAAAATTTATTGCAAACAAACAAAATTGAAATCGCATAAATGTGCACCAACAATGATATCAATTTACTAAAGGGGCAGATACGGCCGGCTGTTTCTTGCTTTTTTAGTGTAGAATCAAGACATTAAATCATTTAGACTTCAAAAGAAAGATTCATTTCAATAGCTCATACTCATAAGTAAAAAATATCTCACATATGACTGATCAATGTAATTTATGTGTTTTTTGCTCTAATGATTGTGTGTATTTCATCTGTTGTTGTTCATTATCTGATGATGATTCTGTTCCAACAAGATCATTTCCATCTTCATCGTCTATTCCATCATTTCTCATTTCTACATCCATTGATGTTGGTAAAATACGATATAATCGTTTTCGTTGCCATTTTTTACTTGAATATAAGAGAAAAACAAAGATGACTAACGATAGAAGAGATGATAAAAATAAATAGAATATAAACGATAGTATATATTTTCTCATTGTGTAGTAAATTAATGATGGAAATAATATTTCACTTGTTGTCATTGTTAAAACAATAATTTTTATTAAACGATCGTTTAATGTTAAATCTTGTTCTAACCATGTTAATATTAAATTTGATAATAGTGCAATTATAAAACCGATAAGAAAAAATGTTAGATATAATACTCGTTTTGATGGAAGACCATTGTCTGTTGTTGTTTGTTTAAATAGATGTGAAAATGTTAGAGTACTTGATACAATGAATAGTAAAAATAAACAGATGAGTATACAACATTTCAGTGATATAGAATGAAAATGATTAGACTGTTTTTTTGCTCGTGTAATGACACGAGTGTAAAATAGATAACAACCATACTCAATAAAAATATCAAAAAGTCTACCTAAAAATAACCCAATAAAAAAAGAAAATTGTATAAGTAAACTAGACAATTGAGTTTGACTCAATTGAATACCAAATAGATATGTGAGATAAATTGATGAGTGTTCAATAGATGATAAAAAAAAATAGAATAAAATTAATGTTGAGATAAATTTTAATGATGAATTATCAGCAAATAAGAGCGAGTTTGATGGCGAAATATTTTGCCGTTGTCGTGATGATTGACGAACAAAAAAGGAGGTGAAAAAATTAGATGTAGGCGATTGACGATAGGCTGGTTGTTGTTGTGAAATGCCGGATACAGCATCTGTTCCACGCATAGCCAAAATTGAATACAATATACCAAGAAGAAAAAAACACAATGATAGAAATAAATATAAAACTTGAATCGAATGAATGGAATGAAAAAAATTCACCGCTTTTCTATAAAATAAATTCTTTGATAATTCATCTGCATCTGATTTGGCATACGATGGTTTATGATGTTGAATTATAGTAATGATTGTTGAGTTTATCGTCGATAGAGTTTTATTAACATAAATTGTATTACTAATTAAAGTCGCCGTCATCGTTGTTGTGGTGACTAAAAAAGAAATTGAAATATCTCTTGGAAAAATATATACCAGAAAAATAATCGCTTCTTTCTTGTAGCTATTGAATGTAAGTTGACTTATTAAAATACACTGAAACAAGGAATAAACTCTAGCAAAGTACAATCTAAAAGAGCCTGATTATTGCTACTGATCATTCATTTTTCCAAGGAAAATAAACTCTCTAATGATCTTACTTGACGTCGTCAATAATGACGATGATGATATAGTTGTTGGCAATAAGGAGATGCGAGCGGCTTCTGTTGTATTACTATTAATCCCATTAGGTTTTATTATCACTGGCTGTTTTAGCGATATTATATTTATTTTATGGGCCATGTCTATGATCGGTATACTACAATTTTTTACTACTATTTCTTGTTCTTCCTTTTTTACATTGCATATTTCATCAATTTTACATAAATAATTCATTGATGTTAAACATAACTTTTGCTCTTGGCAATTTTCCATTATTTGTTTGCAAATCTGTTCATTTTGATTAGTAGGTGCGTCACTTCGACAAACGAATGATGATGATGATGATGCATTTTTTGTCTCATTTGAATTGTAGCAACAATATATTTTTAAACAGGATGTTTGATTTAAACTAGAGGCAATGGACTTTGGGGGATGCGATGGTGCCGTTGTTGTGGTGATGCTTTTTGTGATTAGCAAAGAAGAGTTAAAATCAATTGTTAATAATGACGTATTTGAGATTGAATAATGCGTTTCGTACAATGGATCATCGATGGTCATGTCTGCTAATTTATCAGCAAATGATACCGTCTTATGTTCTTGTCGTCGAGGACGACCAATGTCTAAATAATAACAACAAAATACAGTGTCTTTCAGTTTCATTTTAATAGAAAACTTACCTATTTGTTCTTTTTTCGTATTATTACTAATAATAGCCAGTTTATCATTGTTTAGTGACGTCGGTACTAATAAGAGTGTCGATAAAACTGCACCAAGAGCTAATAACAAATGTAACCATCGAACAGGCGTTAACGATCGTCTTGTCCACAATCGATTGTACAACGTATCAATTCCTTGAGAGAGAAAAGAATAGTAGATAAAATTTTGAATGAAGCGATTTGTACAACAAAACATGACGTAGTTGCGGTTTTTTCAATAGAGGAACTTACCATTGTTCGAAATAGCAAGTCCAACGCCTAGTATAAGTGCAGTCAAATAAAATGTTGCTAAATCCGTTATCATGGGCAATGCACAAACACCAAAACTAATCGATAAACACGACAATCCCAGCAAACAACATGTATTAAACCTGAAATATCGAGAAAAAATATATTTCTGTGTAGTTAAATGAATCATAAGACTAAGAGACTAAGGCTGTTTTATTTACGAATCATTTTTTACTAACCAGTCGTAAAGATAAACGCTGAGTAATGTTCCAATAAAAAAACCACTAGCTTTCATTGATATCAACCATATGATGGCAGCAACATCGGTCTGAATTTTATTAGCAAAAAATACAAATGTTGGTCCAAGAATACCAGCAAAAATTCCCTACAAGAGAGTTAAGAGAAGTTCTGAACGTTTATTTGTCCAGTCTAGAATATTCACATAGGAGAAAACCTGACTCTTACGATTGACACGCATGTTGCACCCAATAATGCCGTTTGCACTTTCGATAATTTTACTTCTTCATAGACTTTGATATTAAATCGATTTACACCACCAATAGGCGATGATGAATCGGAATTGGGCTGAAATAACGTTCTTTTATCGAGAATGACCTCTTCATCATCTTCATCTTCAACCATCTAAACAGAAAATCGCAGTTAAAACGTAAATCATTATAGTTTTTTCCTTGGGATGCATACCATCTTGACACATGAGAACTGCAAATTAAATTGTTAGTAATACTGGTTTGCTACATAAACTGAAATGAAAAAAGTTTGCTTATTCTAAGTATAGCAAAATAGAAAAGCAGGAAGACCATCGTTTTAGAATGACGTCATATCACTCAGTTTCTACTAAAGATAAGGGCTAGCGTAAAACTTAACGAACAGTTAACCCTGGAAGAAAACTAGAAGATTGACGAATCGAAAGCCAACACAGCAAAATAAAAAAGCTTGAGTAAAATCACATGTATGACAGACTAAGGCGACATCTATCTCATGATGTTTTTAAGATTCTTTTCTTGTCATTAAATGTTCAAAAGAAAAGAGTCACAACTTCTATGAAGTTTAAGTTGTCCATTTTTTATCGTACGATGAAGTGAGGAGAGATTATCTTGGTCAAGAACTGAAGCTTTTTAACTTGGGTACTTCCGCACAGGCCCGCCCACTTTATACACGACCTAAAGTCGGGAAGGTTTTACTATATGCAATGGACAGTTTTACTAAAGGTATGTCAAGACTCTTGTCGCCCTATGGAAAGATTATTCCGAGCACGGTTTTTCCTCGGCCATAAGTTCTGAATTGAAGCGTTTTTAGGGACGCCGTGACAGCGAAATCCGACCTTACCTAATACTAACAAGCCCTCTCATATTGCTAACTGGAAAGAGCATACAAAGTTGCATATTTCTATCCGCAAATGAGATTTTCTCCTCTGACATTCGAAAAGAATTTTTGACTGGAGGACCTTATCTGCATTAGCAGATATCACTCGTTTTATAGCGTGTTGGACGAGCTTAAAATCTAACAAAACTCCCTCCAAAACTATACATCAGTTCTTTGAGATCTTGTTAGTCCGCACAGTACTCGACTTGTGCTACAAACGCACAAGGTGTTGACTTTGATCAGGTAGTTTTTCTTGTGGCGGTTTTCTAGAAATCCCCTAAAAATCCTATAATCTCCTTCAGGCCAGAAACGGGAAAAATACTAAATTACGCATAAAATGACATGCTGAATCCGAATTTCAGGTTAGTTTGGATTCAATATTTATGAGTAACTGAAGATTTTTAGGGGATTTCTAGAAAACCGCCACAAGAAAAACTACCTGGTCAAAGTCAATACCTTGCGCGTTTGTGCCACTAGTCGAGTAGTGTGCGGGCTAACAAGATCTCAAAGAACTGATGTGTAGTTTTCGAGGGAGGAGGCCAAGACTGGCCAAAGTAGGTCTCCAGGCTACGCTTACCATGAAGAAGTAAAAAGCGCTAGAGACTTCATTGTTGCGTCATACGAACAAACTAGGAAGCCCCTTTTATATGAATATAAATAAAGTTAAGTTTTGTTAGATTTTAAGCTCGTCCAACACGCTATAAAACGAGTGATATCTGCTAATGCAGATAAGGTCCTCCAGTCAAAAATTCTTTTCGAATGTCAGAGGAGAAAATCCGACTAGGTAGGGTCGGATTTCGCTGTTACGGCGTCCCTGAAAACGCTTCAATTCAGAACTTATGGCCGAGGAAAAACCGTGCTCGGAATAATCTTTCCAGAGGGCGACAAGGGTCTTTACATATCTTTAGTAAAACCTTCCCGACTTTAGGTCGTGTATAAAGTGGGCGGACCTGTGCGGAAATACCCACTTGTCAATAATGTGTACGATTTGGTCGATATAAGTTAGATACAAAATTTATGACTAAACTCTACAATTCAAGTAAATAATGGAAAATAATGTTGATTATTGAGTTTCATGCTAAACGTTTGCGTCCTCCTTTTTTAATGGAAATTCCTGTGTCTTCGATTTTTTATAGATCGCGGCCTTGTAGCCTTATTACGGCGTAATTACGAAAATGGTGGATTTTACAGCGTAATTATGTCTTAATCTCGCTAGAAATGGCACCTGTAGCTTTCTCTCTTTCCACCTAACGTCGACACGATCAGAACAGCAGTCTAAAATGTCCAAGCGATGTAGGGCATCCCTAGTCGAGAGTCCCGCGGTACTCCTGTCACGGGGTCCTGCAGAAGTCAGATGGGACTTTCATGGGATTTCTCAGAACTCCTGTGGAACTTTCGAGTCCTGCGGGAGTCCAACGAAAGGCCTTAGAATACTCAAAGTCATACAGGAGTTCTCAAGAGTTATGAGAAATCCCTTGAAAGTCCCACCTGACTCTCGCCGGATCTTGCAGGATCCCGTGACAGGAGTCCCGTGGGAGTTTTACCGGGAGTCCCGACTAGAGATTAGTTTTTGTTTGTTAGTAAAGGATTTGGATGAAAAGTTATTAACCGTTATTTTGTTTTCAGACGTTAAATAATCTTGCTCATCTCTCGTTACCTTAAGATGAAAATAGTGAAAACCGGAAAAACTTCAGTCAATGGGAAAACTCGATGAACAAGAACCTATTTTATTACTTTATCCTGTAAAAGTTGTTTCTTTTTTATATAAACCGAAAGAGCCTACCATTATTAGACGTTAAGAAAAAGCACAATTTTTTTCCGAGCTTTCGAGATATGCTTATCAGAGAATAAAATGACGATAAAGAATAATTAACAACAAAATGAGCAAGAAATGTTCCTCACTCGTATTATACAGAAAAAACGTCCATATCGAATATATGCACGATTTTCTGAGTCTTCTTATCTGTGTATAATAAGAGTGTGAAACATTCTTGTTCTCTTTGTTGTTAATTTTTCTTTATCGTCATTTTATTCTCTGATAAACATATCTCGAAAGCTCGGAAAAAAATTGTGGATTTTCTTAACGTCTAATAATGATATCCGTAATAATTCTTTACTTCATATTTTCTTCATTTTTGTGTTTATATTTTTAACAATGTTATAATTTACTATGTTTTTACATTTTTGTAAAATCATTTTACACAAGAGGCAAGCTTTCGATACTTCACAGTATCATCATCAGGCTGTGAAGTATCGAAAGCTCGCTTCTTGTGTAAAATCATTTTACAAAAATGTTTTTCAATTATATTAAATATACTTAGTTTTATAAGAAGCGTAAAAAAGTTAAAGAATGTCAATATGTTTTTACAATGCAATGTACTGACAATTTCAATCGTGAATATATTTGATTGAAAGAATTGGGTGTTTATTAGCCGAAATAATTTAAAGCACGTAACGATACTGGATAATAAGCGTTTTAGTAAACTTCCACAAGCAACTATGAGGCACTGATTTTTATCAGTGTAGCACTTTTTTGACAGAGATATATCTCTGCCAATTGGCATGTGTACGTATGCACCGATGACACCGTCTAACTTCACCTTACGAACCTACATGTCTTAACCCACTCAGCTACTTTGAATATACTATTCTAAGCTATTTGAAATAACTGTAGGCAACCTGTACTTTGCATCTTCCGTTTCCTCGTTTTTGAGCAATAAAACTTATTATTCGACGTTAAAAAACTCTTTAATCTTAAAGTAATTCAAAATAACTAAATTCAAGAAACTTAAGACATCTGATTATTGTTAAAAAGAACTTTTATTCTCTAAATAATATCACAAACACAAGAAAACTCTTGCAGCATTGATTACTTTCCTCATGCACTCGCCAAGGAGCACTTATTTTTTTTTCAATAATAACAGGCCGCTGGAGAAATATTGACAAAATCTATTGTGTTTTATGTCAACGCAAGATGTATTTTCGATTGCATTACAATGCACACAAATTCGGTACAAGTTTTTGCCACATCTTGTTCGTTGAATGATTTTAACAATGCAGTACTCTCTAAAAAATAAAGGTATTATAAAATACGAAAAATGGTATAACCATTTGAAACATATCATAACTGTTTAAACGTTTTTTGCTTTTATCAGAAAAACCCTTTGGCATTTTTAGAATATGAAAAAGCCGTGATTTAAAAAACCCTGAATTGATTTGGTATTTTAAAATACCTGAAAGGTTTTTTTGTGACATGAAAAAACCTCAACCGTTTTTCAGAATATAATTTAGCCGTATTTTAGAAAACGAAAATTGGTTTTTTGATAAGAAGAAACTTTTAAACAGTTATGATATGTTTCAGATGGTTAAACCCTGGTTAAACGTTTTTCACGGGTGGTTATACCTTTTTTTTGGTTTTTCTCAAATGGAGAATACTTTTCAGGGTTTTTTGAAATATCTTTTTTTTTTAGAGTGTAGCTATCGATTAAAAGTTTCAATCGTTAGCAACTACATGTATCGTTTTCTCTTATTTATTCTCTGATATTTCCTTTAGTCAAAGTCATTTTGCTAAAGTCTTTTAGCTTTTCCATGAAAAGCATAATGTTAAAAGGCTCCCATTTAAATGCTAAGTAGTTTTTATTAAATGCTAAGTAAAAAGTTACTTTTTTTCTAAAGTAATGTATTAAAAATAATTATATCTCCACGCAACCCCGCCCCCAGTCACACAAAAATATAGCTTACTAAAGTCTTAGTATTTAATAAAAACTATTTAGCAAAAAAATAGTAATCATGTTAAAATACCCAAAATCCGTAGAAAACAGACATTCGGCTTGACAATGAGGGACTGTCTTCACAGCGACTTTTACACATTTTATATCTTAATTTTATGATTTATTTATTATTTATCGACTAAGGCACGATGTGTTGATATCTCTTCGCTACATATTTGGATCTATTACTCTTATTTCAAGGAATGTTCGATAAGATCTGATTTCTTTTGTTCTATGCTGCTTCTGTCGATTCCTCATCAACAATTTCGTACATTTCTAGTGAAACATCTTCACGAAGAGAGATTGTAGTCGCTAGGATGGGAGGGGCTAAACATTTTTCTTCGCAGAAGTGGATGGCGAAAAAAAGTTTTCTAAATTTTTGGCAGAAAGTTGCTTGTGGAAAAACGTCAAAGATTTTGCCGAAAAGTCCAAAAATGCTTTTAGGAAGGGGCCAGCCCCCCGTGCTCTCCTCATCGAGAAGCTTGAACAAGAAAAGTAAACGGACTTTTTTAACAGAGTCGGTTATTTATTCTAAAATCAAATCAGCTTCTGTGTCAGATTCTGAATTGGTCACATTTTTTTGTTCATCTTCCTCGATATTATCATCATCATCTTCATTCACATCTATGGATACTGTTGTTGAAACTAAATCATCTCCATTACTATTTTCATTATCAAATAATGATTTTTTAACTAAAGATAGTTTCAAACGAGACATAAATCGAATGCTACCGTCCCATTTTCTAAAAATGAAGAAACAACCACACATTAATATTAATAACAAATCGAGTATTATCTCACTTGAGTTCTTCGACAATACTGGCTTGTGTAAGATTGGGTATTTCTAAAAATAAACACAAAATAACAGACGACATTTTAAAAACACAGATTTTTAAGAATTACCTAAGCCAATTGATTCAAATTCATTTTTCTCAGTTCCCGTGGTTGTAGCAATCAATGATTTTCTTGATACATATTGAGGCGTTTTTTGGCGTTCTCCAATTTGATTTTTCAAATCAATTTGCTCGAGCTCGTCTTGAAAACGATTTAAATATCTGAAAACGAGAACTATGTTTATTACAAGAACTATATTGTATTTGTATCCATGCTTACCGTTTGATTATGTCATAGAATTCATTTTTTGAATACTTAGTATGTGTTAAATCAAGATTTTCTTTGAACCACAGTAACTTTTGTCGAAGATTATTGTATTTTGCTCTTGTGTTCTGACGTTGTCTAAAATTATCAAAAAACGCAGTTTCATAATAAAGACTATTTAGAATTAAATTAATTATTTACTTGATTACTCTTCCAACATGACATTCTCGTCTAGATAATTGTTTTGCTTTTCGACTACTTGGATGAATAATTTTTCCTCCAGCACGAATCTTTTTCTCTTTAGGCTAAACAAAAGAGTGGAATATTTGTCTTTTTTTGCTGTTTGTGTCTGCAGTTTATAACATTTAGTTCTCAAACTTCAGTAACAACTTCGTAAAATGGATATAGTAACAATAGTATGTAGTTGAAAAAATACATACCATATTTCCAGATTTTCAAACTAACAAAGAAATGTTTCTGAAAATAAACATAAAGTGAAAGCACTTGAATCAACTTCGGACATGCAATGCGACAGCGTTTCTAACCATTGATGATCCAAGCTCGAGTCATGGGATTTTTCACTTTAAAAATTCGATTTTGAGTGTGTTTTAGAAACACTGCAATGTCATCTAACTTAACCCTCATCAACTTCAAACTGGTAAACTCTTTCAAGCACTCCATTCTCTCAACATGACGAGTTTTTTCTCAGCTTAGTAGAGCCTTTCAATGATTGTCATTCTTTATTACTGATGATCTGTCTTTGTCCATTATTCTAGTTTTCTTTTGTCAAATTGTCTTACGAGTCATTGTTATTACAGGTCGGGAACTTTTGCTGACTCTCACTTTCGTGAATAAGTAATAAATTTAAAATAATAATTTCAGTTAAATTTGAATGTATGCTTCGACTTTTACAAGGAAAAGATCGACCGTTACGGAATCGCCAAAAATAGAACAGCCATTCCGAAATATTATTATATTATTTACTTTATTTTATTTTATTTTGTTTCTTTTTTATTCTTCTTTACTATCTGTTTTCGTACACTACACTAGTTTTTACCTTTTATTTATTTATTTATCTATTTATTTATTTATTTATTCTTTTTTTTCTATTTATAGATTCTTTTGTTGTTGTTCGGCTCGAGTCATTGTTTTATAGGTCGGTGACCTTTGATGACTCTCACTTTTCGTGA